AATAATTAACGGTGAATTTTAGCACATGACTTTTCTCCCTTCAGGTGAATTATCATATGGTGTTTCATCTTTCATCAGTCAACATGTTGTTACAGCAATTGTGTGTGTGTGTTTTTAAAGACTTCAGCTACAACTTTGTTAATCAGACACACACCAAAATGATAATCAGGAAACAGCAATAGGTGTGGGAAGGGAAGAAACATATATACAGTAATTGTGTGTTGAATGAAAATCAACTCATCCTCAGAAAAACCCAAATTAGAAATGATCTAATATTTTTGCTTATTGACCAATTTGACTTATATCAATACTGGAATAACATTAGCCCATAATGTTCCTCTCCTATATTGTCATCACTGGGTTTGGCATCTAGGTTTTGCTAGTCTCATAAAGGAGATGTCTAGCGTCTCCTTGCCAGCAGAAATTGTATATCATTCTTGGAACTTTTTTTCACAGATTTCCAGTGAATCCCTGTGAGCCTGGGGCTGTCCTTGATAGACTATTTTTGAAAACTGAATCAAATTATTTGACGATCATAGGAAAATTCAAACTTCTTGAGTATGTTTCATTAAGTTACATTTTCTAAGGATTTGTCAGTTTCATGTGTTGCTGTTCAGTCACTCAGCCGGGTCTGACTCGTAGTCCTGTGGACTGCCACCAGCCAGGCCTCTCTGTCTATGGAATTTTCCGTACAAGAATACTGGAGTGGTTTGCCATTTCCTTCTCCAGGGAGTCTTCTCTACCCAGGGATTGAACCCATCTCTTTCTCTCTTTTTTGAACCTATGTCTCTTGTATCTCCTGCATTAGAAGGCAGATTCTTTACCGCTAATTTTCAAAATTACTGGCTTCCCAGTGACCTAGAAGTTAATATAGATATGATTTATATATATATATATTTCCCAGATAAAAACTCTTTCTTAGTTCTCCCACCATGCGGCTGACTTTTCACTATCTCAATAGTGTCTTTGGTAATCAGAATTTTATCTTTATTCATATACACCCAACACATTTTTAGTGTAGATGAACTCATCCATTATTATTGATGGTTAGTGCTTCTTATATCTGTGTAATATACAATATTAATATTAATACAATATCTGTATCATATATAATATAATCTGTTTTTACCATGATGAGTGTATAAAGAAATTCTCCTATATTCAAAGGTTTAATTTTTTACCTTTCAATTAATTAATTTGAGGCAGTTAAATGGTCATTTCATCTTTATTCTGATATACCCAACAAATTTTACTATAAATTAATCTGATTATTAATCATTTTGATATTTTTTTGTTTTCATTATGATTTTACTCATGATTTCCAGTTGGCCCTTGAACAGCATAGGAGATAAGGGGCATCGACTCTTCTGGTGGAAAATCTGGGTATAACTAACCTGTAGTTGGCCCTCATGTTCTGTGGTTTTGCAACCAACCATGGAGAGCTCAGTAGTCTAGTATTTACTATTGAAAAAAAATCAGCATATAAGTAGACCTGTTCAGTTCAAACCACTGTTGTTCAAGGAACCACTGTATTTAGCAGTCTATTTCCTTAGTTTTTAAGATATAAGGATTTCCTGCTCATATTCTTGTTATGAAATTCAGTTTAAACTCATTGTGGCATATTAAATATGATGTATCATTTAAATCCTTTAAACACTTTTGAGACCTAATCTATGGCTTAATCTATGGTCAACATCTGTATGTGCTTGTCAAGTGTGTAATCTGCTTTTGTTGGGTAAGATGTTCATTATGTATTCATTTTTTCATTAGCTATTCATAACTTCTATATCACTGAAGTGAAATGAAAGTGAAAGTCGCTCAGTCGTGTCAGACTCTTTGTGACCCCACGGACTATAAGTCCATGGAATTCTCCAGGCCAGAATACTGAAGTGGATAGCCTTTCCCTTCTCAAGGGGATCCCAACCCAGAGATCCAACTCAGCTCTCCTGCATTACAGGCAGATCTTTTCCAGCTGAACCACAGGGAAACCCATTACTAATCTATGGCATTACTAATCAATTTATAAGATAAGTTTTAAAATATTCCCAAATAACATGAAGATATTTCTTCCTGGGGAGCATCCACTCCCTGCTGCTGTTGAAAAGAAGTGGGAGCAGCAAGGGTCTGGGTGGGGCTCAGGACCAGGGGGTGAAGACACGCAGGTTCCATTCCCCGAGGGAGAAGGAGGAAGTAGACAGGTCCCAGCCTTGGTGCCTGTGAGGACATTATTGAATGTGGTGGGGTTGGGGTTCTGGGGCACAGTACCCAGCACCCCCCCCACCCAGTGCCCTGGGCTCCCATTTCTGTGGCCGGCACTGACTCAGCAGCTGTGTGGGCTATTGCACTGAAGGCTTCAGTTACTGCCTTCCCCCAGGTCCCTGGCAGTTGGTGGGCAAGCCTCTTGGGCAGCTCTGGGTGATGAAACTTATCACAGCAGCAGGAGATGGGACTATGAATTATCAAGCCCCCACCTCCCCCACCCAACCCCCCACCCTCACTTTTCCTTCCTCTCCCAGGGACTCAAAGTCAGGCAGGAGGAAGTAGAGGCAGCAACTGACTGGGCAGCCTCGCCGGGAAGATGAGGCCACTCCTGCTCCTGGTGGCCTTTCTCCTGTTCCCCAGGGTTCAGGCAGGTGAGTGACCATTCCCACCCTCAGGGGCCCAACTCCATCCCATAGACTCCGAAGCCAGACCACCCAGACACTTGCTAGCCCTGTATCACTGGGCAGCTTGCATGAGTCCACAGTTTCTCAGCTTCAGATTCTGAGGGCAGAAATTATATCAAGCCTACCTGAAGAGCCGCTATGAGAGTTAACTGACAGAGTGTACATAGAGCTCTCAGAACCACCCTGGTACATACTACCTGCTGTATAAATGTGCTCTCTGAACTGAGTTTGCAGCCCCTGTGTCAGCGCCTAGGGGATCAAGATACAGTGATTTCGGGCCCATCAGCTCATCTCTAGATCCTTAAATCCATGAGCTAGACTCACAGGCATCTGGAAAATTCCCTGAGGAAGAAAGTGCCACAGAACTTCAGGGACAGGCCCCTCCAGAGGGCTCTGGGTTTGCCCTCCCTACAACAGAGAAACCCTCCTGTGAGGGAGCCTGCACCTGGCCCTTCCTTCCAGGCAGGTGGGAAAGCGCTGAGGCTGGATGGAGAGCCAGCAGCACTTCCTGCAGGGTCCTGGAGCCACCCCCAATTCTGTGCCCTGCAGACCCTATTCTCACCAACCACCATCTCACCCTGCCCCTGCAGCATCTCTCCTGCTCCCCAACTTCCAGTCTTTCTGGAGCCACCAAGCTGATGTCGACACATCTGCCAGTGCAGAGATAATCCTAGTGCTTCCTTCCAGGGCAGATCATCAGAGGCTGAGAGGCCAGGCCCCATTCCCGCCCATACATGGCATTTATTCAGATACGAACTCCAGTAGGTCGGAAAGTTTGTGGGGGGTTCCTGGTGTGTGAAGACTTTGTGATGACGGCAGCTCACTGCCTGGAAAGATGACCACTTAAGGGACTTCTGGGTGCCAGCAAGGCAGGTCCAGAAGAGCTCATGAGAGGAGTCACTGAAAGAAGGGGTCAAGCCACGAGTGGGTGAAAAAAAAAGACCATGTAGAGCTTGGCGGACAAGAAGCAGGCCAGTGTGAATGGGGGAGGACCTGATCAAAAAGAACAGGATGGGGAGTTGAAACCTACACACTGGGGCTCAAATTATGACTTTAAGGTATTTTTTCAATCTCTTGTTGGGGAGGCAAAATTCAAAATCGCTATGTCCTCCACCACCTCCAGCTCAAGGCTGAGGAGGCCTAGGGAGGAAAGTTCAGCCCCATAGCCCTCCTGTCTCTTTTCCCTTGGCTGAGGTCTGGCAACCCTGGGTAGTCACTTGACTTGTATTGTGGACCACAGTTCCTGTGATTCAGACCTTACCTCTAGGCTCTCTTCCCTTTGCAGCCAAATCAATGTCATCCTGGGGGCCCACAACATCAGGACGTTGGAAGGCACGCAGCAGCGCATCCCTGTGCTCAGACCCATCCCCCACCCCAGATACAGTCTGCAGAGCCACAGCAATGACATCATGTTACTGCAGGTACCGACCCTCTGGTTCTTCAGCTGGGCGGCTCGTTCCCAGCCTGGGGGCTTCCAGTGTCCTGGGATCAGGGAGGAGGGGAAGCCAGGAAGACCCCCAGGGCGGTGGGGGCCTTCCTGTGTCCTGGGATCAGGGAAGGGGGAATCTGGGCAGACCCCCAGGGCGGTGGGGGGCATGGGGAGAGTGTAGAATAGACAGTCCCTCAGTGCCTGCCCGCTTCTTGTCAGCTGGAGAACAGAGTCCAGCGTAATCGATTCGTGAGGCCGGTGCCTCTGCCTCAGACTCAGAAGAGACTCAGGCCTGGGACCCAGTGCACCGTGGCCGGCTGGGGCCTGACTGGCCCAAACATGAGAACAGACACGCTCCAGTGTGTGCAGCTGAGGGTGCAGAGGGATGGGGTGTGCAGAAGACGCTTCATGTCATAAAACGACCAAACACAGATCTGTGTGGGGGACCCGAGACAGAGGAAGTCTGCCTTTGTGGTAAGACCACGGCATCTGCCAACACTGACAGGGGACCCTGGGCAGACTGGGCAGTGGGACGGACCACATTCCCGTGGCTGCAGTCTGGGGCCTAGATCAGAGGGATGTGGGGGGTGCTTTCCCCCATCCATCCAGTCTCTGGGTGAATAGGAGAAGGACCAGACACACAGGATGTTCATGTGCAGTGTTTTCCTGGGGCCAGTGAAGGTACCTTGACCTGGGTTGGGCTGGAGAAGCAACCACAGTCAGGGCTGAAGCCCGGTGATGGGAAAATTCAGGAGCTTTTCTTTTGCACCCCACCACCCTCCCATCTCACACACACCAGCACTGCAAGGAGCTCTCCTCAACCCCCGTCCTCTCTCAGGGTTGGGAGGGGGCAACAAGTGGGGAGGCCTGGACAACTGAGGGTCCCTTCCCTCCTCTGCCTGTAGGGGGACTCCGGGGGCCCCCTCGTGTGTAACAATGTGGCCCAGGGCATTGTCTCCTGTGGAGACAGGATGGGGACCCCTCCAGCAGTCTTCACCAGAATTTCCAGCTTCCTACCCTGGATAAGGAGAACAATGAGATGCTTCAAAGAGTGGAGACCAGAGTGACATCCCACGAGACTGACTCTCCTCTGGGGCAGAGCCCAGCTCCAGGGCAGTTCCCAGAGCCTTAATAAACGCCCTAGTCTGGAGTGGAAATGACTGATTTCTAATGTGTTCATTAAACATGATTCGTGTACAACAAAGTGTGCCAGGACTGAGGGTAAGCTTCATCAGGAAGATGGGGTCTCTTTCTCAGGACAAGTGAATCCCGATTCCTACTGTCCTGGGGTCAGCAGGAGCTTCTTCCCTCCTCCAAGCAATCCATTCCTCCGTGTCCCTTCTACCCACAGCCTGGGGATGGATGGAGGGACCTACGTCTTCCCAGAGTAAGGTTCCTTGTTCTCCAGTCTACCAGAGACGCCCCCTTAGGTACCTGAGAACCACATGCCATTGGCCTGGGTAGGACATAAAAGACAAAGGAACAATTGAAATTCCATACGAAGCTCAATTTAAGAATAAATGTGGCAGTGCAAGTCACTGGAAAACAATGAATTTTTAATAGATTGCAATGAAACAAATAGTCATTTGGGGAAAAAAGATAAAATTGGGTCCACATCTCATCATAAACCTAAATAATACTCAATGGGATCAAAGATCTAAATGAAAATATCAACCATAGAGAAATAGAAGAAAGGAAAAAAATTTACTTTCTTAAAAATATCTAACAAACACCCATATCAAAGCTGTGCTATTCACAATGGCCAAGAGATGGGAGCAACCCAAGTGTCTATGGAAAGAGTCTTTCTCCAAAATCATTTTCCACACCAACCCTCTGTGCTGTAGACCAATGTTCTCATTTCCATGTGATGAGGGTCTCCTTCTGGGTTTATTACTTGACAGTTATACAAAACTCCACATAATATGTTGGCTAAAATAACATGACTTTCACTGTAGAGATTAACCTGTGACTAATACACCAATATTATATCCAAATAATAGATTTCTTAAGTCACATAGTTTAAAACCATGCTTTAACACTTTAGGTAACTATAAAGAACCAACTGGAGGGTCTTCTATATTCATCAAAATGTTAACTGAGTTTCCCTGATGGTCTGGTGGTTAAGAGTCTGCCTGCCAATGCAGGGAACAATGGTTCGATCCCTGGTCTGGGAAGATCCCACATGACGCAGAGTAACTAAGTCTGTGCACCTCACCTACCGAAGCCCACATACTTAAATCCACGCTCTGCAACAAGAGAGGCCATTACAGTGAGAAGCCTGTGCATTGCAACAAAGAGTAGCCCCCACTCGCCACAACTAGAGAAAGCCTGCGCGTGACAACAAAGAGCCAGTGCAGCCAAAAATAAACAAATAAATCTTTAAAAAATGTTAATTACTCCTTGCTGTGTGATATTTCCCACCTGAATTTTTGCGGTTTCCATAATCCTGAATAATCACTGAACACATATCAAATCTGACTGATGTATACAAAAATGCTTTGGTAAATTTGATCATATTTTTATAGAATATCTTGCCAGAAGGTCATTTGCCTAATATTCAGTGTGAGTCATTTATCAACAAAATTTTAATCAGTGATACATCTTTGAAAGTAATTAGTCATTTTTTCCCTTTATTTGCTACCACCCACCCATAGGAATTATGTCTTGCTTGTATGTTCTAGGGGAAAACAACCTCATTATTAAATGTTTGCATTGCCAGGTGGAAAGAATACTTGACGGTGGAAGGGGGAGGCGAGAGCAGTGAAGAGCCCCCATACAGTCCTCCCTAAGCTCTGTGACATTTATTTTGAGCCCCACAGCACCACCCAAGTCAAGACTCAGTCCTCAGGATACTCCCAGTGCAGTCCCATCTCGCCACCTAAGGATCTTCCAGCTATTGAGCCCCTTCAAGGCAGCTGCCTGCCTTTAGCAGCCCTGCTGGAAAGGTTTCTACAGACCTCACCAGGCTCACCTCCAGAGGACAATTCTCTTCTTGGCCATCCCCAAAGTCAGATCCACCACCTCTCACAGCTTTGCAGCCTCCCCTATTAAGTAAATCTCAGCAGCAGAAGTTTGGCATGGGTCCGAAGTTTACTTAAGGAAAATATTCCTTGTTGTGTTCTCCGCAGGTGCTGGACTCTGATCTCTCAAGTACTAGCCAGCCCTCTCTCAATCAGAAGGTATTGTTCTTCTATTTTCTCCCGGTCCCACTGGCCACAGGACCATTCAGCCTGCTGCTCTCAGATCTATCTGGATTACGTGGCTTGGTCTAGGTTATCCCATCTTTTTCTCTGAAATGAAGTCTGTCTCCCTGGGGCTTTCTAGTCATCCATACATCTCAGTGAATTATTGTGTTTGACTAACTTGAGTTTCTTCTGGAATCCCTGTGTTATTGTGACTTATCAAGTTATTTAAACTCTGTGAGTTCCTTTTTCATCTCTGGATTAAGGAATCCCCCAAGATTTCTGAGGATAAAATGACACAGTACATTACAAATTCCTTCCAAAGTACCTGGTGTGTAAAAAGATTTCAATAAATATTAATCATCACTTCTGTTTCTTTTACTTCTTCTGTCCCAGCTCTGGAACCACAGGAAGAAATTCACCTCAGGCAGTCTGACAGTCCTTAATTTAGGGGAGCTATCATGTCTAGTGTCCTGTCAGTGTAACTCTCTTCTGAAAAAAATAACACCTCCAGCTCTTCACCTGTTCTCCTAAAGATATTCAGGAGTCCATTCACTCCCCAGGATCCTCTCTTGTGGAAATTCTACTCCAAGTCAAAGACTGGGACCTCCCAGACCAAGCCATAAATTGAGTTTTCTCAAACCTCAGGATCAGGACTAGGGCTGTGGTTTCTGGAAGCAATTCCACAAATATTTCCACTGCGTCCTCCATTCTTCTCAATACATGAGGTTTGTAGAAAGGCTAGAGAAGGAATGCCCAGGTGGGGGCAGTCACTTTGAACTGGGGCTATTCTTCATTTGAAAACAAGAACAGGTGCCCTCATCAGGCTTCGGATATCTCTCAGTTGTCCCAGATGAGCGAGGATATTACTTCTCACCTCTTTCTCTAGCTCACAAGATGCCCAAAGTATGGAGAGCGAGGCCTCTCCAGCCTCCCTGTACACATGCAGGAAAAGGTAGGAGGAACCTTGGCTCCACCTGGTTGTCCGGGGCTGGATGAAGTCGGGCAGGCTTGTTTGTGATGGCTTGTTCCCTCCGCAGCTCCCTCTCCATCCCTGTTCTCTGACAGTCTGTTTGCACAGGTTTTGCCTGCTACCTATTAAGGTGTAAGTGATAAATGAGGTTCAAGACTGACAATGCGATCATGCTCAAGGCTCTTGCATTTATATAAGAATCTCTTGCAAATTCATGGGATACAAAGTAGAATGGTGATTCCCAGGGGCTGGGGAGAAGGGGTAATGGGGGATTACTACTTAACAGGTTAAGAGTTTCAATTTGGGAAGGGGAACATTTTTTTTAAGATGGATAATAGCGGTGGTTGCACAGTGATGTTCATGTACTTAATGCCACTGAACTGCACACTTAAAACTGGTTAATAGGTAAATTTTCTATTATGTATATTTTACTACAATTTAAAAAGTAATTTAAAGAAAGAATTTCTTGCAACTCTTCTTAAAAGTTTCTAATAATAGAAGACATTATTTGGAGAAAGTGGGCAGCTACCTCTTCTGCACACAGACAGCATTGTTGGAGTTACTTTTCCCTTAAGAGCACTCTGGTTTTTAGATCAAGGAGAAGAGGCCCCGTGTCTGAATGATGTCATAGACCCCAGAAGTAGCTCCACCCCAGCATTTCTTATGTGTGAACATAACACAGAAGGAGAAGCTGTAGGAGAGAATGAGCCAGTGGTGCTATCTGAAGAGAGGCCTGGGCTGGAAATAAAATGATGAGATCTAGGATAGAAAGAAACGAGGAGAGGGGGAAATCACGCCTATTCTTCCATGATATTGATACTCTATCCTACTTGGAGTTCACTGAGTTTCTTGGTGTTGAACGTTAATGCTTCACACTTTTTCATCAATATTGTGAAATTTTCACCCATAATTTATTCAAAAATTTTCAGCTTTTTATTTTCTATTGGAGTATGTGTGCGTGGGCATGCTTAGTTGTGTCTGATTCTTTTGCGACACATGGACCCAGCTTGCCAGGCTCCTCTGCCTGTTTTTAAGGCAAGAATACTGGAATGGGTTGCTATTTCCTCCTCCAGGGGATCTTCCTAACCCAGGGATTGAACCTGCCTCTCCTTCATTGGCAGGCAAGGCTTCTTTACCACGGAGCCTCCAGGGAAGCCCTGTATTGGAGGAAAGCTAATTAATAATGTGATTTTTTAGGTGCACAGCAGAGTGACTCAGCCATACCTATACACGTATCCATTCTCTCTCAGACTCCCTCTTTACTTCTTTTCCTGCTCCTTGCTCTGTTTCCTCTCCTTCTGGGACTCCCTACCTGTAAGTTACATGCAGTGTCCCACACATCTGAAACTCTATTTGTTTTTATTCTTTTTTTACTTCTGTTCACTGAAAAGTCCTAAAGCAATTCCAGATTTGTTAGTTATGACTTCACAGGGGTAGCCAGCTACTCTCCTGGAATAACAGCCAAGCTCAGACACAGGTGCCTTCCACCCTTGGTCCAAGCAGCAGAGCTAGATGTGAGTCAGGTGAGACAGGAGGAGGCGGGGAAAAGGAGAACAGAGAGAAATTGCTGATCAACATTATGTGGATCCACGGGGAGCCCTGGAGAAGGGAGGCCTGAGCCATGTGTGGGGTGGAAGTGTGGTCCAAGGTGGAGTCCAAATAGCTCAGAGGAAAGCTGTCTGTCAGAACAATATGATGGCACTGCCAAATGCACAGGAAACCAGCTACAGAAATTGTGAAAACTCTCATGGTTCCATGTGACAAGATGCATTAAAATCATAAACACCTGTTTTGGACTAAAATAATAGCTTATCGTCTTTGATTTTCTATACTTCCCCAAACATCGTAAATAATATTTTACAGGTACACTAAAGCCCAATATGTCAACACACTGGTTTAATAAATTACTACA